GCCACTCCATGCTCATGGATTGGTAGAATTACCCAAAGCAATCTACAGGTTTAAGGCAATCCCTCCCATAACACCAATGACATTCTTCACAGAAGTAGAAGAAGCAATCCTAACATTACATGGAACAACAAAAGACCCGAAACTATAAAACTTCTAGAAGAAAATAATGGGAAATGCTGGAGGGCATAGGACTAGGCAAAGACTTTATGAATAAGACATCAAAATCATGGATTATAGGCCGGCCCTGTGGCTCCTTCAGGAGAGTGCGGTGCTGGTAGCACTGAGGCCACGGGTTAGGATCCTATACAGGGATGGCCGGTGCACTCACTGGCTGAGCGTGGTGCAGACAACACCACGCCAAGGGTTGCGATCCCCCTACTGGTCAAAAAAAAAAAAAAAAAATCATGAATAACAAAAGCAAAAATAAACAAATAGGATTTTATCAAACTACTAAGTTTCTGTATAGCAAAAGAAACAATCAACAGAGTGAAGAGACAACTCACAGAATGGGAGAATATATTTGCAATCTATGTATACAACAGGGGCTGATATTCAGAATATAAAAGGAACTCAAACAACTCAATAGTAAAAAAACAAATAAGCTCATTGATAAATGGGTAAGGCAGCACTCCTGGGGTCCTAGACAAGGAGCTGCCCTGTCTGACCAGAAGCAGGCAACAGAGGAGTCCCAGAGTCCTAGGCAAGGATACATGGGCTGCAGCTCCCTCTGCCTGGAAGCAGGCAAGATAGGACACCAAGGGTCCTAGGCAAGGAGTCATGGGCAACAGCCCCCTCCTCTTGGAAGCAGGTAAGACAGCATGTCTGGGGTCCTAGGCAAGGAGCTGAGGGCTGCAGCACCCTCTGCCTGGAAGAAGGCAAGACAGCACTCCTGGGGTCCTAGGCAAAGAGCTGTGGGCTTCAGGGCCCTCTGCCCAGAAGCAGGCAAGAAAGGATGTCCAAGGTCTTACACAAGGAGCTGTGGGCCATAGCCCCCCCCCCCCCCCCCCCCCGGAAGCAGGTAAGGCAGGATACCCAGAGTCCTAGGCAGGGAGCCAAAGGCCGTGGCCCCCTCTGTCCAGAAGCAGGCGAGAGAGTACACCTAGGGTCCTAGGCAAGGATCTGAGGGCCATGGCACCCTCTGCCTGGAAGCAGAAAAGAAAGCACGCCCAGGGTTCTAGACAAGGAGCTGATGGCAGTACCCCATGCCCCAAAGCAGGCAAGAGAGCATACTGAAAACACCACTTTGTGCAGGTGGCCCACCAAAGACACCACCACAGCCATGGCTGCCCAAAAAGTGGCTCAATGCCATAGCAGCAGCCACAGCCTCCACGCATGCAGCCTGTTGGACACTAGACTGCACCAATACATAGAGAGTCACCAGCGGAGACCAGAAAAAGAAAAGGATGTCTCTCTCCTCAAAGTCCACTCCACTGCAACAGAAGAAGGAACTGCACTACCAGATAACCAGACATCGCCGTAGAGATATTAGAAATACGAAAATCCAAGAAAATACGACACACTCAGAAAAACACAGTAATTCTCAAGTAACAGACCCTATAGAGCATAAAACCCTTGAAATGACTGAAAAGAAACTCTGAGCAACAATTTTAAGGAAATTCACTAGGATACGAGAAGACTAAGTTAGACAACATAATGAAATGAGACAAAGAATCCAGGATATGAAGGAGAAAATTTACCAAGAGATTAATACCTTAAAAAAGTATGTAGCAGAACTCACAGAACTGAAAAATTCACTCACTGAAATAAAAAATACAACCGATAGCTTAAGCAACAGGTTAGAACAAGCAGATGAAAGAATTTCTGTTCTTGAAGATGGTCTTTTCGAAATAACACAGGCAGACAGAAAAAAGGAAAAAGGAATTTTAAAAAATGAATAAAAACTAAGAGAGCTAGCAGACAACCTTAAGCATACAAACATTCAAATCATGGGTGTTCTAGAAGGGGATGAGAAAGGAGAAGGCATTGAAGACCTATTCAACAAAATAATAACATAAAACTTCCCAGGTATAGGGAGAGACACGGACCTTTAGATCCAGGAGGCTCAAAGATCCCCAAACAGATTCAACCCAGAAAGATCCTCTCCAAGACACATTATAGTCAAACTGGCAAAGCTTAAAGACAAAGAGAGAATCTAAGCCAGAAAAAAAGTGTCAAGTCACCTATATGGGAGCACCTATCAGACTAACAGCAGGCTTCTCAACAGAAATTCTACAGGCCAGAAGAAAATGGGATGATACACTCAAAATACTAAAAGGAAAAACCACCAGCCAATAATAATATATCCAGTAAGGCTATCCTTCAGCAATGAGGGAAAAACAGTGTATTTTCCAGACAAAAGCTGTGGGAGTGCACAACCACACGATCACCCCTACAAGAAATGCTCAAGGAACTCCTGCAACTGGAATCCAAAAAACAGTAATCACTACAATGAGTACACAAGAAGAACAAAACCCACCATTTTTTAGATTCCAGATGCAGGACTTCCTTAAGGATTTCTTGTAGAGCAAAAATGCAAATGAGAAAGGGAAAGAAACCAAATCTTACCATTACAAAAAGCCACTGTGATAATGTAATAATGCTTCTACTTTATTTCTGATTTGAGTACTTTTCATCTTCTCTCTTTTTTATTGGTCAGTCTAGATAAAGGTTTGCGAATTTTGTTGATCTTTTAAAGAATCAACTTTTGGTTCTGTTGATTTTCTCTATTGTTTTTTAATTCCCTATTCCATATATCTATGGTAATCTTACTTAAATTTGCCTTTGGTTTAGTTTGCTCCACTTTTTCTATTCTCTTAAGGTAGAAGTTTACATTACTAATTTGAGATATTTTTTTTAAATTTTAGTATAGATGTTTACAAGTATAAATTTTCCTCTAAGCATGGCATGAGCCCTGCATTCTATAAAGTTTGATATGTTGTGCTTTGATCTTTATCTCTAAATACTCTCTAATTTCCCTATGCTGCTGCTTTTTACCCATTGTTTATTTAGGAGAGTGTTGTTTAACTTCCACACATTTGAGTTTTCTAAATTTCCTTCCATTATTGTGGTCTGAGAATATATTTTCTATGATCTTAGTCTTTTTTTTTTTTAAAGGAAAAATTTAAATGAACAAAAGAAGTTCACAGAAAGATTACTATTATCTTTTAATTCTTTTTCCATGAACTTTCTTTGAAAGTCCCCTTGTATTAATATTGTTTTATTGATTTTTTATGCAAGTTATGTTGCTAAACTTAGATATTTAATTTCTGCTCTGATTTCTTTTTATTAAGTGGAGTTGTTGATTTGCTCAGAAATTAATTTGCCTTTGTAAAATTTATTCGTCTTCCTCTATTGAAATTAATTTGATATTTGCATGCTTTTGGAAGACTTTAGAGAGCTATTTCAAGTAACTGTAGAGATTGTAAAATGAAATATGTAAATTTTAATGTTTTACATGTCGTTTTTGTGAAAAACCTATTTTCTACAGAGTATTTTGTTATTCATCTGTTATTCAGTTTATGTATTTGTTATTTGAACAAATAAATGTGCATACCCTTGTTAAAAATAAAACGAAGTAAAGTAATATAAAAAATGGGCAAGGGAGCTCAGTAGACATTTTTCAAAAGACATATAATTGGCCAATGGGTATATGAAAAAATGTTCAACATCACTAATCATTAGGGAAACGCATATAAAAACCACGTTGAGATATCATCTCACCTCAGTTAGACTGGCTATTATCAGAAAGAACAAAACCAACAAATGATGGTGAGGATGCAGAGAAAGGGGAACACTTCTATGGTGTTGGTGGAACTGTAAATTAGTGCCGCCATTATGGAAAATAGTATGGAGGTTTCTCAGACAACTATAGATAAAACTACTATATGACCCAGCAATCCCACTACTGGGTATATACCCAAAGGAATGAAAAGCATCATGTCGAAGGGATACTGGCACTCCCATGTGTATTACAGCTCTGTGTACAATAGCCAAGAGTTGGAACAACCTAAATGTCCATCAACAGATATTTAGATAAAGAAAATGTAGTACATATATGCAATGGAATACTACTCAGACATAAAAAAGAATGAAATTCTGTCATTTGCAGCAACATGGATGGATAAGATTATGTTAAGCAAAATAAGCCAGGCACAGAGAAAGAAACAACACATGTTCTCACTGCTATGTGGGAGTTAAAAAAATAGAACAAAACAGTAATAATAATAAGTTGAACTGTTAAAAGGAAGAGAACTGTGTTTACTAGAGGCCAGAAAGGGGAAGTGAGAGGAAGAATAGTGAGAGGCTGGTTAATGGATACAAAATTACCGCTAGATAGGAAAAATAAGCCCTACTGGTGTACAGTCGACCTAGGAATCTATAATTAAATTTGATTTATTGCATGTTAAGAAAATACTACAAGAGAGGCAATCAAATGTGCATAACAGAAAGAAATGATTGTTGGCAATGATGAATATGCTAATTACCCTGAATAAATCATCACATATTGTATACATTTATTAAGATATAACTCTGTACCCCATAAATGTGTAATCAATGTTTCAATAAAAAATTAAACAAATAAAAAAACTATGTAACTAACCAGGCTTCAAAAAGAGATGGTTCTTTACCTAAAATCCACCAAGGATGTACACTTTAAAATTCTTTCATTCATCAAGAAATAAAATAAATTTTGCCACTAACTTTAATTTCTGTCTGATTACAACCAAATGTATAAGAAGACAGTATGTTTAAAGTATTAAATTAACTTAGAAGCTAAAATTAAAAGTAGGCTATAATCAAATTTTAAGAAAAGTAACATATTTCCACTTTTAGTTTCTATATTTAACATATTTTTAAAATCTACCTATCTAATAATTGCTATATTTGATAAAACACATGATTTATGTTTAACTGTGAACTTGTGTTCACATAAGGAAAGTTAATTTCATTAAAGTCAAAATAAATCTTTCAAAATTTTAATTACAAATACTGATTGTTACCTGGTTCTTACATCTAATTTGCATCTATTGATGATACAGGATAACTCAAAGAGAATTGGGAACCATCCTCTCACCCACACCCTGTCTTCAGGTGCCACATTCATATCGTCACTTGTGTATTCCTTGAAAGCCTTGAAGAAGAAAGGTAGAATTACTAAAGGCAATACATAATACCTGTACGTTTGGTGTTTTACTTCTCAAAAAAAAAAAAAACTTTAAATACTTTACAAATCAAAAATGAGAATTTAATAAACAATAATAATTTATAGAAAAATAGAAACCATAACTGCCTACAAAGAGCCCTGGACTAGAATCCAAATGTTGGCTTCACCGTCAACTGTCACCAGCTTTCTATAATATTAACAGGTTAATTCAGGTTTGCATTCTTATCATTTAAATGGTTATTACACCACACAGCCACACTAACCATACTGGGGAGGTGAGAAGGTCAAATGAGTGAATCGACGTGTCTAAAGAGTACTGAGCACACCATAGGTCCAAGTTTGTAAGCAGTCAAATCTTATTACCAAATCTATGATGCATCATTATTCCTTATACAGTTACAAAGAAAGATTAAGATATGCAAGTTAAAACTGGCAGCCAGATTGTCAATTCAACCTTTTACTTTAGAGCTAAAGCCTACACTCATCCAGTCAGTCAACTTCAGTACTGTAGGGCATGGACAATAAGAAGCACTATAGGGAATGGTGAAAAACACAGACTGAGGTTTTAAACCCTTGCTCTACTTTACTAGCACTGCAACTATGAGCACATTTTTCTACCTTTCTGTGCCTCAGTTTCCATATCTAAATGGAACTATAACATTATCTATCCCATAAAGTTGTTACAAAGATTCAACAAGTTAATACATTTGAAACACTCAGAAAAATACCTGACACCTTTAATACTGGTAGTTATAATCACTAACCATCATAACCCAGAATCAAGCTCAGATTTTTGGTTTCACTTAAAGATAAATTCTTCATGTACCCTCAATTCCTAAATAAATTTAGATTTCAGATTAGAAATAAATGCTTTGCAAAATTTTGTTCACTAAATGATGCTATACCTGAGGTCTATCAGACACATATTTTGCACAATGGCGAATAAGTCGAATTGCTTCCATGCTTGTGTCTGGGAAAGCTGCATTGCATGCAAATTCGGACAAACACTTCACGGCATCCTGGAAAGAATCAATGGTCGCTGGAAAGTGTTTTTCAAATACAAGTGCTAAAACAGAGAAAAATATATCAAAATAACTAAAATTTTTCAATGATTCTTAATTGTACCAAAAACACATCAACCTCTAGATATAATGCATACTTCTTAAATGTTAAGGGCTTTGATGTCCAACAGATAAGGGGTTCAAATGTGTCTCTAATCTCAGTTGAGTGCCCTGAATAGTGAGAATAGCAAAACAAACCTGTTTTGTTTATACTTTAAAGACAGCACTTAATACAGTGACTGGTACACAGTAGGTACTGAATCAACTTTTGTTGAATGAATATTCCAAAAGTACTTCACCTCTCTTTTTTTCAGTTCCTTGATCTATAAAATGCAGACAATAATACACACAGAATAGTTGTAAACACTACATAAAATAATGTAAGTAAAGAGCTCAGCACAATACTTAAGGAAGCACTCGATAGATGATAGCTACGATAATACCATGATTCTTGACAACGATGGTCATCATTACCATCTTCTATACAGGCTTAACTTATATTTTTATTATTTCAGTCCCTCTCAAAGTTAAGGAAGGCTGTGCAGTCCCCTTCAAAGTTAAAGAAGGGCTTTGCCTTAAGATTCCATGGCTTTGAATAGAAGCCCATCACTCACTAGTTATATGACCTTAGGCAAACTGCCTAACTTCTCTTGATCCATGAGAAAAGGGCATAATAAAGATACTTACCTCATACAGTAAACATTCAATAAAACATTAACTATAATAATAAATAATTATCATTATTTACTCTGGTTCTGTGCACAAAACCTGGTAAACTTAAAGCTACTAAAAGGCCCATAATGTTATTGTACTTGAATTATCTCCTGAACACATTAAGGTTTTCTTGGTTTTTTTTACTTGAACATAGCTAAGAGAATACTCACTGACAATGTGCCCTGTTGTTTGGAATGCAAGTTCCACTATGCTTTCATCTTGATCAGATGCAGCTAGATGAAACACAGAGAATATGTTCTTCCATCCAGACCGAATGTTAGCAGCTTGAGAATTAACCATCTGTGCTATACACCGTACAACCATATCTCGAATTGTTGGAGACCTAAATTTTAATATAATTGTTGGACATGCAAACAGATAAAACTCATCAGTTTTTTCCCTTCTTCTGTTCTTCCCCCAGCTGTGGAAAATTATAAGGCTTTTCTGATATTAAGTAATCAAACAAATATAATACCTGTTCCGTTTCATTATATGTTCAAAAGGTCTTAAGAAATCCTTCTGGAATCTAAAATTAGCAAGCTCCCCTTTTTCTAAGAACTTCATTGACAATTGTCTCAAGGAGTCTACTGCAAAAATAGCTACATCTTCATTAGGATTACAGCCAACCTGTAATGGCACAGAAATACAAGATATTAATGTCAGCAGTGAAAATCTACAATTCTTTATTTTTGCCTTAGAAAAAGTATATAACTAATAGCATAGATAGGTAAATCCTAAGATTCTCCATAAAGGCGCTAAGTATGTTAAAAATATTTCTCAACAAAAAAACCAAGATATTTTAACTAAATACTTAAAACCTAGAGCAATTGTTTTTAAAAAGAAATACAGGATCTCAAGGGTTTTCTAAACTTAATTATAGTAAACTAATAAACAATTGCTTGCAAGGAAAAAAGCCTCAATTCGATGAGATAGAAATTTTGAACAAAGAAAAATATTAAGAATATAAACAAATACCATAGTTATTCAAATACCTTATTAAAATGATCTCCAATAACTTCCCAAATTCGAGACCACTGCAATCTTATTCTTCCCATGTTGTAATATGATATTTCTACTATTTTTTGTAGACTAAACATTCTTGGGTGTGTAGTAGAAAGTAATTCATCCATAGACACAGCACAGAGCCAACGAACAAAATCCACTACAATATAAATACATTTACATTTTTAGCTCAACTTTCAATTTTTTTTTAGCCAAAAAGCCAGTTTGTAAGTAGAATAAATGTACATACTTACCAATAGCATTTCCATCTAGCCTTGTAGACCCTGTGAATATTCTAGGGAAAATAAAACAAAAATTTACATATAAATTGATTGTTATGTCAATTCAAAGGTGGCCTAGTGTGCTAGCCATTTTTATCTGTTTTAAGGGAGCAAAAAATCAGGTAGTTAAAATGAGTATTTTTCATTCTATAATTTACTAACAAGTATAGTTTCGATATTTCTCCCTACCACCCCTACTCCATATGTATCACTTTGCATTCAATAATATTATTAGAATAAGTGTATATTTTTTATTAGTAGATTTATAAACACCAGATAGGCATCTCATGAGATTCTAAGAATAAGAAAAATATTAACTTGTAAAACTAATGAATAATTGGCACAATATGAAACAAGATTTTTCAATTTTTTCTTATCTACTAGCATTAAACAAGTTCTTACAATGAAAATTCTACCTTTTACAAGTAAAGTATGTTTGATCAGAAAATTCATTTGAGGTAAATTAGAAGTGATTGAATATAACCTTGCAAATGGTCTCAGTTTAACAAAGAAGTGGCTATGCCACTCTCCTTAGGCATTCAAATGTTTCGTTAAGCTAAGCTGTCCAGCTCTGCCTAGGCTTATTTGCTGAGCTCTTTTTCTGTGTTTCAAAGTTTTATAAAAGATTTCAGCATAAACATATTAGTTCTCTTTTTTCAAAGTCTACATTTTTACCCATGTTCTGGGATTATAACCAAGGATTTAATATACTTCCAAGATAGATGACATTGCTCAATTTAAAATTCACACAACGGGATTTGCATGATAAAAAGAAAATCTTATACTGAGAAGTTAAAAAAAAGAAAACCTTAAAGGTAGAAGGAGATCAAATATTAAACTTAGAAATAATAGTAGTAACAGTAATAGCTACCAATCACAGGGTGGGTACTATTCTAGTGCTTTTTTACAAGGATACTTCAAAAAGTACAAATCTTTCCATGAATTTTTTGAAGTAGCCTCATTTATATCAACTTATTTAATAATCACAAAGTGAAATATGTACTATTATAACCTCAGTTTTATAAACACAGGAACTGAAGCACAAAGATATTTAATAATGTCCTCAAAGTCACAGAACTAGTAAGTGCTGGAGTCAAAATTCAAACCAGGACAGGCTGACGCCACAGCTCATCCTCTTAACCACTTTTCTACACTGCCTCACACTTACCTAAACAAAACATATGTTAAATATTTTAAATATATTCTAGTTTTTTCCTACTACCAAAATCTAAATGTTCTAAGATATCATGACTTTTTAACCTGAGTGCCCTTGAATGTCTATGTGTCCCGGCAATTAGTAACAAAAATAAGACAGGAAAAACAGTTTAAAAACTGATAACATAACAACTTAGAATCTGAGTTCCTTCTAAAGGAAGGTCTCAAGATTTTCTATATTATTCTTGTCAGCAGAGTGAAGCAATTATTCAAAAATATGGCAGAAAACACAACCTGGAAGAAAAAAATCAGGAGTGATAAGGCACCTTTTAATTCAGTAGTTAGACTGGACTTAGAAATTAAAAATACACAAAGCCTACAAACCTCTCATGTGAACAAAAATAGAAATTGCTACACTATACTTTACAAATGTGATCAGCTGATTTCTCAAACTACAGATATTCTCATGGAAGGCAATGGCTATAAACAAACCACATCACAAATAAGAGTCAAAATTAAATAGTATGGGAGAAACAACAAGAAGAAAAGGCACAAAAGAATCAAGGAAAGATTTTTTTTTACTGAGAAGAAAGCAAATGTCAAAGAGTAGAAGGGTAAAGAACAGAAACAGAGATGGAGATTATATGCAACCATTGGGAAAAGCAGCAACAAACTCTGAAGGTGGTGAAATGATGGAGAACAAAGGCAACAAAGACAGAGAACGATGAGCAGCAATCAGACAGGTTCTGTGGACTTGGGGTGATGGCAGAAGGTGGGAGGAGCATGCATCCTAGGTGAGGGCATTCAAATTCCTACTCACTTTGGTAGCCTCTGAGGGGTCACTCTATTTCTAGTAATGCTCCACTAAAGATAAGCCATATGGTAGAGCATAGCAGTCTGTGGAGGCTTTAAAGTTAAGCCTCTATATACTAAGGCAGGAGAATAGCTATGTTTCACAAAACCAGTCTATAAAATGGATTCTACGTTCCCTGTATGAAAAGCAAAGGACAGAAGCATGAGAATCTTGTTTGTTAATATTAAAAGACATGTCCTAAAAACCAGGAGTAGGATAAAAAAAATTGATACAATTACTGCTTCATCCATATTATGATGCTGATGCAAAAAAAAAAAAAAAAAAAAAAAAAAAAGGTTGGCAGAACATCTGAAGGCTCTGGATCAAATTAACTTTTAAACTATATGCAACACACAAGCAATCTAAATTACTATACCTGTAAAAAGAGTTTTCACAGTGAAAATATCAGAGAAAACATTTATTTCTTACACTTAACTAAAAAATATTTATGAGCAAATGCAGTTGTGATGAGCTGTACATATGATAGGTGACAGAATGTTCCAAAGTGTGACATAGGTCAATTATAATGTCAGATTTGGTATGTTTAAAAATAGTAATAAAAGCAAAAATTATGATTCTAAGTAATTGTTTTTTAGCTTTTAGAAGTAAATCATTCCTGGACAAAGCCTATCCTCTGCAGTTTAGCAATACTTAGGAAATTGGTCTAATTTTACAATGCCTAGAAGATTTTAACTTAGCAAATGCTAGAGGACCAGGTACTCCCAGATTAAAGTGCTCAATATTCTAAATTCTATCTAATACAAAAGTGAAGATAATTAGAAAATTTTATCATCTTAAAGCTTTTAATGTAATCATATTTTTTCTTGTTGGTTAAGAAACAGAAGCTATAAAGAATTAAACATAGAGGAATTATTTTTATTTTTCTTGTTTAGTTCCTGTACTTGTAATAACAAATTATTCAGAGCAATAGGTCTAAGGAGAGAAAAATGACTTTATTTGCTGGAAAAGTACAGAACTCTCCAGGATGATGCTTGATAATATTCTCACTACTGTCATGACTACCAGTGTTATCTCTTCGAGTTAGGTTATGGACCAGAGTTGCAATGCAACATATGAAAATAAACTCAGGTACTCAGAAAGAAATTCAGAAGAAATTTAATGAGAAAGTGAAATGCACCACATACGAATAATCTTGTAATCAAAGATGTAACTTTTAATGCTTTCACTATAAGCTAAAACTTAAATATTGAGGTTTTGCATAAAACTGGATATTGGATTGATGTTTGAAGAAGTATTTGGTGATGATGAGCTTAGGATGATAAAGTGCTAATAGAATTTATGCTAAGTCTCCTCTGAAATAGCATAAATGCTTAAAACAGGGAGGCACGTAATTTGTTCAAATAAGTGACAAGTCCCCCTGTAACAAACAGTAGACAGTAGGATAAATTAGAATTGGGTGTGGTCATATAAAGTATATTATGGAAACAGAAATAATAGGTAAAATGTTGAATTTTGCCTGAGTAGATCCTTATAATGCCTGAATAGATTCTCATAATGACAGTAAAGATGATTTTTCTGAAAGACAAGAAAATCATCTGGAAGAAAGCTAGCCTGGTAGCAGCAGGGCAGCTATTACACGGCTCTGGAGTCATACATAGAGGCTTCTAGAAAGGTGGAGAGGTTAAGAGTGCATACCCAGGGATACACTGCCTGAGTGTACATCCTGAGACTACTCCTCAAAATTCTCTGTGAATTAAAGAATGAAACAGTTATCTCAATAATCAAGACAAGACTAGTCTGGTTGTAGGAATGAGCAAGTTATTTAACCCCCTTCTGTCTCAGTTTCTTCATTTGTAAATTGAGGATAACACTGTTACTGATCTCATGAAGCTACTGAATGAACTGAAGTAATACATGTAAAGCACTCTGTAAAATGCCCCCCCACATGGCAAGCCTTCATGTTATATAATAGGTATAAGATAATACACATCTTTCTTCAACTTTCACAAGAAAAAGGCAAATGACCCTCCTCTCCTAAAAAAAGAACAGCAAGTAGACATTAAGAATTCTTTTCAAGGAAAAAGTTCCAGGGAGTACTTCCAGGGTTAGTAGCCATTGAATACTCTAATTCTGTCTGTCTTACAGCAAAAAGTAAAATGATGGATCAGCATGAGTCTCCAGGCTATCAAGAAAAGATTATAGTATATACTACATGTTTGAAGGTTTCCATCATAACTGGTTAAAAAAAAAAAAAAAAAAAAATTAAACATCAGTGTTGTAAAATGTTAAGTTCCAATTTTTTGGCATTTATCTGGAAAAAGTTAAACTTCAAAACAACACTAGAAGATGTATTGTTCTACATGCTGAGCTTCTAAAATCTGAAATAAATATTCCATAGTAAAATAAACCACAGAATGGGTTTTCATTTAGAAAACCAATTAAAAATGGGGAATACCTGGTAATGTATAATTGTATATGTGTATATTACATATACACATATTATGTCTACATAAATTCTGAAGTCCTTGCCAAAGAAGCTTATAATGAGAATTGCCAGCAAAACCCTTTCATTCTATCCATGATGCAGTTTTATATCACAGACCTAGAAAGATAAATTACACTGCATTTTCAAATAGGAATAAGAAGAATAAGTTTTCTAAAGGAAGGAAAACATTTGTATTCTTTTTCAGCAAGGTTACCATTTCTCTTATGCCCACTAAGTTAAATTTTTATACTGTTTATCTCCTTCCTAAATTCTATGATCGAAAAAGCAAAATTACAGGCATTTTGTCATCTAAATCACAGTATATCACAATACAGTCATATTTCTTTAGGAAAATTGTTCTGGCAATAATGTCTTTCTTTTTACTAATAAGCAAAATATATCTACATGCTACTGAATTGAAATAGTATTCATCTGAAAAGGGAATAAAAGGAATACCTTACCTGTCTACAGCAACAACAACACTTTGAGAACTGGTTTCTCCAATGGATTCCTGAATACTTGCTATCTGCTTCCAGTCCACATTTCCTCCAACTACCACATATAAAAGAGAGTCATTTCAGTTTGAAAATAATTCAGTGGAAGAATACATTTATAGTTCTAAAACACATTTCTGAAATAAATTATTTTCCTAATAAAAGAAGTAAGGCTTTGGGTGAATAGTTCTTTTGGCATCAATGACATTTTTCAAGGCCAAATGTGCTTAAATAAGCTATACTAAGTACTATACAAGACATGGTTATAAGGCACATATTAGGGGCACTGAGAATTTAGATCACAAAATGACATCAGACATATTTTCCCTTAATGTTTATGAAACACAGAACTAACCCGAGTTCCAGTGATACCTTCTTGAGTGTAATTCCAATTCCATATGATTAGACTTCTCCTGTCATTTATTCTCCAGTCTCCTGTTTACAAATGCTTGTTGGAAATTTTACCTGTATGTTCTAACATCCTCTTATTCAAAAGAATCATTCATCTTTTCCCCCCAAACTGGTTCCCTATGTTAAACAGTGGAACAACAATATCCCCAGTTTTCAAAATCTTAACCTTAGGATCATCTTTGATTTCTTTTTCTTCCTTCATCATCAATATTCAACTAATCACTAAACCTTTCTTTGTCCTATTTTCATATCATCTATTCACTTCCATCCCTACTTAGGATAGGCCCTCATAATTTCAGTCCTGGATTACTGAAACAATTTCCTGACTGATTTCCCTGCCAGTAATTACTCTCCTCTTCACTCTATCCTTCATCCTCCTGCCAGATTAATTTTCCTAAATCATCACTTTCATTTTGCTAGTTACTACGTACAGGATAAAGTATAAATTCTACAGCCTAGCACTTAAGGCACCTTCCTTTCAACATTCTAGCCAATATGTGTCTCTATTCATGCCATCCCTCAAGTATCTAAAACTTAACTATGAAGACCCAATTTGAGTTCTCAGGAAGGAGTCCTCTTCATTGTTCTCATCTGCCTCTGAAATAAACATTTACTTAACTAAGTACTACTCTAATCAGAATTACTTCCATACAGTTTCATATAAATTATTTCAGGTGTGTTAATGTTGTCTTCTTAACCAGATAAAAAAGTTACCTAAGGTTAGGAATCACTTTCCTACCTTACTCAATATTAAGTCCAAAGCAGGGGCTCAACAAACACTTCTGAAGGCCAACATAACAGATGATGTCATTTAAACCAGTTGAACTGATATTCTAAGAACTGCACAATGTGCAAAAGATGTGATCCTCACCAAGTTAATAATTTACCAGGAGAGACAGACGTGTTTACAACAAACTTTAATACAATGTAATGATTACTTCATGACTGAAATGAACTAATTACATGTAATGCAAGTTTGCTAACTAGAATTAACTTTGACAGAGACAAGGAGAATAGGGGTGTTGGCTCATGGAAAGGATTCACGTATGATGAAATATTAATTCAGACTGACCCTACACGGATGACCATGTGGAAAGGGAAGCAGAAGGAAATGCAATTCAGAAAGAGGGGCAGCTATATAAAGCAATGGAAGCACGCAAGCATATGTCTGTTTCAATATTTGGGTGTTTTCACAATGGAGGATGCGGTGGGGGACAGGGATGGTAGTAAGAAGAGAACAGTAGTAGATTAAGATGGAAAGACAGACTAGAAATAGAATGCAAAGATCTTTGACTGTCATGTTTAAATGTATTACTTTTGAAAACTGGAAATGATTAGACCTTTTAGAAGATTGATATGATCAACTGTCAAAAAAATAACTCTGGGTCTTCCGGTCAAGATGGCGGAATAGACAGTCCCTAGCGTCACTCTCTCCCACAAAGCAACGGATTTAAACTATAATAACATAACAACAAGTGCATATGGAACAGGGAGACATCAAGCGGGGGAGGCAGAAGCTCCGCCGAGACCACATGCCCTGCGGGGCCGCCGTCGCATGATCCGGCAGATAGGCTTCACTGCCGCCACCGGCTCCATTCCCAGCCCAGCCCCGTGTGCACAGAGTGGGGAGATGTCTGGCAAGGGAGGCAGAGGCTCGGCAAAAACCATACACCCTGTGGGGCTGCCACTGCGTGATCCAGCAGGTAGGCTTCACCGCAGGCACCCAGCTCCATTCCCAGCCCCGCCTAGTGCGCTTGGAGAAGGGAGATGTCCGGCAGGGGAGGCGGGAACTCCACGGGGACCACAGTGCTGCCGCGCGATCCAGCAGCTCAGTCCAATGTGTATGGAGCACAGACACGCCCAGCTCCATTCCCAGCCCCGCCTAGTGCGCTTGGAGAAGGGAGATGTCCGGCAGGGGAGGTGGGAACTCCATGGGGACCGCAGTGCTGCCGCGCGATCCAGCAGCTCAGTCCAATGTGTATGGAGCACAGACACGGCCAGCAAGGGAGATAGAAGCTCCGTGGAGTCCACACACCCTGTGGGGGGGCCGCCATCGCGTGATCCAGCAGCAGGTAGGCTTCACTGCCACCACCAGGCTCCATCCCAAGCCTGGTCTAGCGCGCACAGAGCAGGGAGACATCCTGTAGGGGAAGGGGAAGCCCTGCAGAGACCACACGCGCTGCGGTGCCTCGGTGCACCCCAGCAGCCCAGGCCAAAGCGCACGGAACAGGGAGAAGTCCTGCACGGGAGGTGGAAGCTCAGCAGAGACCACACACCCTGTGGAACTACCCCGTGATCCAGCAGTCCGGCAGAGTCCAAGCTGACCAGAGAGGTGGCTCTCCGGAGAGGCCCATGACCTGAGGCAACCACACACACAAGGCACTAGTGGCCAACTGAGCAGTCACGGAGGTAGCC